GTTGACGTGAATAAAAGTAGTCATAAAAACAAAAAAACACAATCACGGATATAATGAAGGTGTTACCGAAAGCCGGAGAGTGCGGTCACTTAAATGTTTATTTAATAAGGCCGAAAATACAATAGGCAAATGATGATGGTAACCTCATCAAAATTTTAAAGAAAAGCCTAGAAGATTATATCGGCAATTTTGAACACAATCACATTTGCTGTTTCGGTAGTTTTAGATTGAGATGATGAGATTAGAGAAGCTCGATGGCGCAAGTGGTTCAGATTTCAGCTGCGAAAGCATGAATTATGTTTGAAGTTAAGAAACTTTTGCAGTGATTGATCATTGGATGGGTGGCAAAAAATGTACAAAGATGAGCTCCTTCGTGTTTCGGAAGGCACGTTAACCGTTGGTCCTGTTAGTTTAATATTTATCCCAAATATGATCCAAAAAATAATTATTCATAATTAAATTATCGATTGTTAAAATATGTTGTAAGAGCTCAACACCAGCGTCGGTTGTAAAAAGACCCCTTTTTAAACCAAATTTTTAATATATAATAGTTTTTTAATGAAGTAACTTATTTTTATAGAAATAAGACTGCATTTGGTCTAACATATTTTTTTCAAATATCTTACTTAAAGTGGGTAGCCGCATATAGGTCTAAAGTTTGTGGGATCAGATGTGCTATGTAATCAATGTATGTATGTGCACTGTAATCGACATCGATTCTTTATACTAAAGTTAGTCTTGGTTTAAACCTAATGCTGTCTCTATTTTCTTTTTAGCACACCAAAGTGACAATATCACTTTTAAAAGCAGGTTTAACTTTGGTCAAGGTTTAGTAATAAGACGGTTATTGCTGATCACTTTTAATTGTTTTCATACATATTAAAAAGGTAGGAAGTGATCAGCAATGAACCGACAGAAGATTTTTCGTTTCATTTTCAAATAAAGAAGATGAAAAATCCTGATATTCTTTTGCTAAAGTTACCTACAGCCAGCCGCGTCAGCCTTGTTGCTACATGGTTACAGTTTGCAATTTTCTGGGTATGCTTTCAAAATTATTTTTAACAAAGTGTTGTAGAATATGTTTGCACTCTTTCGCAGTAACTTTAAGCTCATTTTAGCTCCCTTGATGTTTTGTAAAACAGGCTACGCAGATTGTACTCTTCTTTATAGAATATTATATGATATATTATATTCCATGTTCATGGAATCTCATGATACAGGTACTAAAGAAATTAATCAATAATAACTAGATTTTTCTTGTTAATTTTATATTTGGAGCTTTAGTGCTATACACGGATACTTCAAAATTAAGTAAATTACAAAATGTACATATTAATTAACCCCTCTTCTTCTATTAATCATATAGGTACATATAACATGTTAGTTACTAGTTATTTATGATACTATTGATTGCGGTAAGTTGGTTATTACGAACGAGTAGACGAATGTAAGCCCGAGACGAGGTCGAGGGTTTACCATAGTCACGAGTTTGGAAATATCAATACCGCGCGAATATCATACAACGTCTTTCAACTCATTTGTGAGAAAACAGTACATTTTTTAAGTAATGAAGTAAACTTTTTCTAAGACGATAATAGCGCGCATTTCCTTGTGGCGCCACATGCCAGTGGCGAAAATTAGAACTACATCTCGGCTTTTTTTTCTTTTTCTAGAATTAAAGTAAGCCAAACGTATGGATCAAAAGCGCTAAATGCGTTTTTTTAGCAAATGTGTTTATGTTGTTTTTTGCAAAAGGGTTTGTTATTTATACAATCATTATATTAGTTAAAAACTATCTAAAGTATACGATATTTTTTTGGAGAAAGTTTTGTTTTCGATTTATGCACTTATTTTTGTATCAGTAATTCTGACTCTGCTTAGTGAAGGACAAAATAATTCGTGTGAATGTCCTATGTTTATTTATTTATATGAGTAAGCAAACACACAATATAAGAATTCGTGCCCTAGTTCCGTGAAGCTGATTAAATTAAAAATAGTGTTTCATTCGATTATGTCATTACTACCCACACTGTCACCTACTCGGTTTCACTGTCACCCCACACGAAAGATACATTTCCGAAAAATTTTGCAAATTCAAATTTTGAATTGAGCTTTTAAGGAGATATGGATGAATCAAATGATTGATATTATATTTTAGTACGAAAGCACGTAAGCTTTTGTGTTGGCTTGGGTGGTTTCAGTCTTTTACTTATATAAGTACTTAGGTACCTCCTTCTCCTGCTCTTTCGAAGTCTTTAACTTTACTTTTTACTTTTACTCTTATCGGCCAGTTTCAATAATGAACTCCAGTAAAAGGCAAAGATAATCTGGTTTAAAGGCAAGAATAATTCCGTTTCTTAGCAACATAATGTTAACATAGATAATATTCCTCTTACTGGAGTTTGATAATTGAAACAAAATCTTGTAGTGAGTGGGTAATTACGTATTATCCTACCACAACCGCAAAAATAAATCAATATCTCTGGTTAGGACATTTTGGGTCCAATAGTCCCTTCCTTGTGCGAGACGCCATGCATCGCACTGACTTGTAGATACTTTTCTTTTATTTCTTAATTTTACAAAATAGAATTCCCTACCGTAAACATATCTGTCTGTCTTATTTCCTATTTAATCCTGTTTGACACAGTTTTCGAAAATTCTATACACAGTCGTAGTCGGGGTAAAGTTATTTAAAGTTGAAATTTTTTCCTATTAATTTTGAGCTTTGCTGTTTTGATACTTATAAGATTCTTACTCTATTACCACAAAAAAGTTAGACACGATTTCGAACGTTGTTTAGGTAAATTTTGTATGGGATTTTGACTTTGTTATTGACTTCTTTCTGTAACTTTATACTTACGCTCTAACGGCTATAATAGTGAATGAAAATCTATCAAACGCAAATCCAACGTTCAAATTATACTTAAAATTAAGAGGGGAGGCAGGCAATGTTTTTTCGATGCAAATGTTCTCGATTGATTGTTCCTTAATTTTTATCACTAAAGAATTGATTTTCATACATAAAATATAATATTGCTCATTCTATTCTCCTACGTCTTTCTTTTTTCGATAACTTGTGTTTTAAAGAAACTAGAAGCCGTCAAAAATGCCAGAAATAAACACATTTTTATCACCACTAAAGACGTCTTGTGTGGAAATTTAATAAGCATTTACAAAAAAGCAAAAATGCTAAAAGCATTCTCTCCCAGTCAACCTTTGGGAAAAATGAAAAACACGAACGGCGGTATAAAGCTAAATACGAATATTCGTATATATATTCGTATATATATATATACAAACTAGCTGACCCAGCGAACTTCGTACCGCTCTAAAAAAATAGGGGTTGTCCAGCGGACAAAATTGTGAATCTAAACCATTCTCAGATCCCCTTGAACACACACAAAAAATTTCATCAAAATCGGTCCAGTCGTTTAAGAGAAGTTCAGTGACATACACACTCACAGAAGAATTATATATATAAAGATTAACATAGATACATACATAAATACATACTATAAAAATAATATAATACACACAAACAAAACACACTAATATTTAAATATATACAGTATACATATATATATATATATACATATATGCACAAGATGATGATTAATAAAATGACACTTCATCTTAAGTTTTGCAACAGATGAGCATGAACATTCCTTTTAAATATAAGTTTACTAGGAGATCTTCTGATGGAGTCGGGAAGGTCATTCCACAGTCGTATAGTTTGAATAGTAAAGGAGTTGGACATATAGCCTGAATGAGAAAGAGGAATATAGAGAGCTAATGAAGAGTAAGATTTCTTTAACATATGTTTAATATTGAGGAGGAAATTTCGAGAACCAAACCTCAAATTTTGCAATTTTTATACGCAATTTTCAGCGTTAACTGCTGTTGTCCCTATCACACGGTATTTGCCAATGCGTGACAGCAATAGTTTTTCAAATGCCTATTTCTCAAATGTTTCAAGCTCCCATCCGCTCTTAAGCTTCAGAACGATATTCGGTCAACCTACATTTTTTATCGTATTTTTTATGTTAAAAAAACGGCAAACAATCATAACGTATGGCCTGCCTGATGGTCGCCATAATCTAAAGACGATTGCTATACCGAAAATATTACTTGCGTCTTTGCCTATCCTGAACCCACGCAGCCCTGGAACCTTACCCACCGACAGAGACACAACACCACATAACAACAAAGTTAACATTTTGAAGATCAAAGTCTTAATTATCTTGAAGACTCAGTGCTTATCAAAATAGAGCTGTAACTTTGACTTAAATTTTTTTTATTGATCATCCACTGACCCGTTTACTGCAATGCAACGTTCTTATACCATTTACTGCATCTGTAATCGTTACCCGCAAAGCTATGTAAAATAATAATCATCAGCCTGTAACGTCCAAACTGCTGGGGCACAAAGTTTTTTCACAGGGAGACCACGGCTCACCAAGGGGGTCCAGCGCGGATTTGTGGGGGTTTAAGACTGCAGATGAAGCCAGGACCAAAGGCTTACGTACCTTCTGAAGCACGGATGAGATTTAGATGTTAAGTTTTTAATTACCCGTCGACAGACGGGCCGTTGCGAAAGTTATTTATCTGATACGATCGTAAATCATACGCGCTTATCAGCTGCGTCATCGAGCTCCTACTCTGATTAAAATACGTCGCAAGAAAGGTATGTTCCATGACACTACCAAATCTGTACTGGTTTTTGCGCGCGAAAAAAATATTACGTCACTTTTTTTTGAACCAAGAACGCCTATGTGCTCTGTAACACCTGTACAAAGTGTAGGTATCATTCAGTTGATAAATATAGAAATGTTAATGAATTCATCTTAATCACTCATGCTTTTTATGGTAAGAAGAGCAACCAGTTCAATGTTTTAACTTGAATATCTATATTTTTTAAATTCTTTTTCATTCAAATGTCGAACATGGATTCGGATAGCAATAGAGTTCTTATATTAAAAGAATATATTAAGAATTAAACTCCCGATTCAAATTTGCGAATGGTAGCTAGCTTGGGTAGGAAGCGTAGGCGCCGTGGCACTATAAGGACCCAGTGTAAAGTCTTTGGATTTTGTTTTCCTCTTCGCAAACACAGACGAACAGACGTAAGTGTCCACAGTGTTTTTTTTTTATATGCAAAATAATCATATCGTGTTTGAGTGTTGCTACCTTTAAAGTGATCTTGGAACTTATTTTCGTACTTCTTCATTAGATTTTTGGTGAATCGTTGATTTTGACACTAGCTCAATACAAAAATATACTACTGGTTGTGTTGTTATTAGAAAACAATTTCGCATAAACTCCTTTTTGTGATAGTGAGTATAAAAAACTTTAGTAATCGAACTTTTTGTCCTTTTATTTAACCGTGGAAATATGTAGGTTAAATTATACTTCTGTTTTTGTATGTTCAAGTTACAATAATGGCGCTCAAATGTATTTGATTTTTATTCATATTTTTATTGTTTTAACATAACGCTTTACAATACTAGCAGTTCACTGTTGAATCTGATTGTTTATCCTATAAAGAGAGAATTCTCATATCTTTATTAACATAATTGTTATTTGTTAAATAAAATTCGCGGGCATTGTTCTCCGTACGTAGATATTTCTAGGACAGCCGTGCACTTTTCACCGCGGAATCCGTGTTTGATGTGAAATTAAAATACCTAATCTCACCGCGATTTCTGTTGTTCAGTGAGTACTTTTAGATTTCGAAGATCTGTTTTCAGGTTAAGTGTTCCAAATTACTTTGTTATTATTTGCTAATACCCTAGTCATTATAATAATGCGAATAATAAGCATTAAAACTCGAAATAATATAGGTAAATACTTATAATTCCGAGAAAAATGTGTTCATGGTTTTCTTAAGAATCGCTTATTTGCAACATTTTGCATAATTACCCATACGTCATACTGTTTCCGCATTAACATAACACAAACACGTTTTCTTAAATTATTTTCTTACACGTTTTCTTAAATTTGGATTTAGTACTTTGCTACGATATATACTGTGAAGAATTTTTAATTAACTAATTTTCAATTAAGATTCTCAATGTTTGAAAGGTTATAAATCACAGAATTACGTTCGGATGTTCTCCAGCAGTTAAAGATCAATCACTCATTCTTTATGCATACATCTGAGAGTACACTTGCATTGACCCCTTATATAGCCACGGCAGTATGCCAACTTCCCGTAATGAACAGTACGTTCGTGACTCACTCATCGAATAAAAAATATTTATACAGTTGTATGTTTGGTGGTTTTGGATAAACATAATCAATGTTGATAACAATCTTTAATAACACTAAAACAAAAGAGAAAATTTACAATGCTACAGCTGTTTCCCTTTGCGAGGAATAAGGAACTATTGTGTGGATTTGCGTTTGACTAGCAACCATGTCACATTATTTTCCGAATTCGGACAAGATAGTGCTGAATTCTTTTGGAGGTTTGCAGTTGGCTTGCATTTTTTAACAAATATATTCGTACTCTGAGTTTGAAAAAGTCACTAAAGGTTTTTGGTCTCTGTCTTCGCTCCCATTTCATCATGGTAGTTTAAATTATAATTTACTAAGTGAGATAATGACATATTGAGCAAAAAAGCATATGTCGATACAGAGTTCATTAATAACTCGTGAAAATATCATTTATTGAGCGTTGTATTGTTATGTTTAAAATATACGACCCGCTTACTAAAACGTGCCATCTTAAGGCTCCCATATTATTAACTAGAAATTATGTTCTGATGTTCTTAATATCGATGCGTAAAAATTTTACAAACATGCTCGATAACATCAAACATTTTTTAAAGATAAAACTATTAACAAAATATAGAATAGACATATTAATGTGGAAGTGCTCGATGGCGAGGGTGGTTAGCACGTTCGGCTGCGATCGGTGAAGTTAAGAAACTTTCGCAGTGGTCGGTTATTGGATGGGTGACCAAAAATCTCGAGCTCCTCCGTGCTTCGGAAGGCACGTTAAGTCTTTGGTCCCGGCTGCATCTGCAGTCGTTAGCACCCGCCAATCTGCACTGGGCCCGCGTGGAGGGTCATGGCCCAATCTCCCTATTCCATCCATGGGGAATTCCTGTGCCCCAGCAGTGGGGACATTAATAGGCTGATGATGATGATATTAATGTGACTGTTCGGTGCAAGGCTAGTGAGCCTTGTGCTTCAAAAATATTCTGGGTTCGAATCCTGGTAAGGTTCGGGCATTTAATGTGTGCTTATGATGATCATGAATACTTAATCATTTCCTCCCGAGTCAGCAGCACTTAGTTTGGATCTGAATAATTATAAAGAAAAAACTATACCTGCTTATTTTGTGACTTTTTATACTACGACACGGTAGCAAATGAGGTTGTGATGATGTCGATTCTGGCATGATTTTCTTAAGCTAAACTTAAATTTGACAACAGTGCATCCTTGTCATTCTCTATACAGAATGAAAAGGAGAGACCGATGTTAAATTTAGTTTTAAGTTAAGAGAATCACGCCAGAATCGACACCATTGTCTATATAACGTTTTAAGCACTAAAACCTGTGAAGTTTTAAAAACCTATTTTCCGTCAGAACAATAAAGATAGTATTTCACTGGTGGTTACTTCCTGAGAATGCTTCTTCTTCCCCGTTCTCCTTTACTCCGATTTGCCTCAATTGGGGGGAAAAAATAAGAAAATGGACTGAGGTAAAATTAGTCTAATTAATATCTTTAATATTTGATTCCAGATGGGCGAGAAATTGTTATTTTTGGCGCCAGTGGTGCTACTTGCGTTCTTCGGTCTCGGCGTAGACGGTAAGCCAAACGAAGTAGAGTCTAATTTTGGAAATAATTTTGTATAAATACGAAGCTTGGCTTTGTCAAACAGGGGTTCCTAAAGTAGGGTCCATCCCTTAGGGTTCCATACACAGACATAGATCAAAAATGATACAGCCAACGATATTAAAATATCGTTGGTAGCAGGAAATGTATGTAAGTTCTTCACTTTCCAAAATTATGTCAAAATTAGTTCCATATTATGTGTATTAGGGTCCTTAACATTTAAGTATTATTTAGAGTAATGAATAATATTTTTAATTTTCGGCGCGTATTTGTAAAATACCTGTTCATTTATTTATTTGATGCACAAACAGGTGAAAATAATAGAAATAAATAAAACTATATTGTATGTTTTGAAATGCTAAGCAATAGCCTAATTAAAACAATAATCAAAAATAATTACAATAAAGACAAATAATCAAATCAAATACAGCGATATCCGCTCCACAGAACACAGAACGTGTTCAATAAATTGTCGACACATACATGCTAAAGGATATTAGGAAGTTTATTGACATACACGTGAAGAAAAATGTTTACCTAATTTAATTTCTGAAAGTAATGTTTACTCCAATAAGTTTCAGAAATAATTCTTCTTAATTAAAGATATGTCACACTCACTCTTTGCTAGCTACTTTCCCACCAAACAATCACCAAAGTCCGACAATGTCGGCTTTTATATAGTTTTGAGCATAAACTCGATCGTTCTACTGTGTTAACATTGCTCGTTCATAAACATTTTCTCGTCAGTAAATAAAAATATTGCCTCCCTTCCTTCCTCTTTCAAATATCCCTTTCGTATCGCAAGAAGTACTTTTGATGTTACCACTTTATTAATTTTTAAATAATCAGTCAAATAATTACCAGTGCGGGTCTATAGGCTGTAAGTTCCGAGTCATCTTTTAAAATGCGTGATATGGTTCTAGGTGCTTTATTTATTTCCCGAGATAAAATCGTTGGCAGCCTTTGGACAGGATTTCTTCGACTTCTTTTCATAATTGCTTTGATCGCCTTTTTCATACGAAAACTACTGGATGGCCAGATTTACAAACAGAGGAGGTGGAGGTGTGGTTTAGCTGTATTCTCAGTCCTGACACTAGCTGATTTGATCGTCATTCATTATATTGTTCTATACGGACTCGGTAGATTTATCGAAGTTTTGTTATGTAAATAATAGTTATCGAAAATGTCTAGGAAAATGAAGCACTATAGTAGCTACCTTCTACTTGCTTCAATGCCATAAATATATTTATGAATAAGAGTAAAATTTAATGATCATAAGTTTTATGATAAATACCAGCAAATTACTTATAATGCAGACTGCTATTATTATAGTTGCCAAGTCAATAAAGATGAAAAATTGATTATTAAAATGCCCAGTTCATAATAGCTTAGCTTACATCATAATTTTAATTAACGACTTGTGATATCCTTATTAGTATTTCACAGTGGGTGTGAGGCGGTGAGCTTCACTGATTAAATACAAAACAAATACAATACAGTTTCACTCACGTAGATCTTCCTCTATTGTAAGAATGCTAGTGTTCTGCCTGATTGGAACACCAATTCTCATTAATTTCAAGATTATGTTATTATATGAGATTGCTATCTCAGCAAAATAAAATCCGACTACATAAAAACAAAACTATAAAAAATATATTCAAATGATCTTTTCGTTAGAATTTTTACTGTCATCAATATTTTTTATCATTAGCCAACCACTATTCAATTTTATAAACTGAATATATAATGACAAGTTTATCCTATAAATCTTAAGTTGCAAAATCTAGATTTGGGGTCTTCGCCATGCCAACAAACTTAAGAACTCCGAATAATGTTCATATCATTTGACTTTTATTAGGCAGAACAACATTAGTTAACCAAGTATAGCACGCTTGCATTTGCATTCATACAATTACCAAACTTTATTGGATTTGCTTGTTTGTATCAGCCATGTAAAGGTAAAGTAGGTAGATACTCATCAGATGTTTGTTTATTTGGGTTCATTTTGAAAGAAAATAAAATAAATAGTAACGATAAGAATCGATTCAAAAATGCCAGAGTAAAAAAGATACTGTAGAATTGAGAACGTCCACCTCTTTAAAGTCGGTTGAAACGACAGCTTCATAATGTTCCTTGCATGTAAAAAGGGTGGCAAAAAAACATACAACCCATCTAATAGTAAGCTACCACCATGCGATACCAGAGAATACACCCCGCCAAATTCTTGAACGACAATAGACAAGGAAGCCTGCGCAGTAGCAAATTTACATACAACGTCTACTGCGAAAGTTTATTTGACTTTGGTTTTGCTCGAGAAATTTGCCTTCATTTGAAAGGCTAACTACCTACTTGTATCACTTTGGGTTAGCTACTCTGACCATATCTCCTAGCTCGTAGAGACCAGAACACAACACTAGTGTTATTTCGCTGTGTCTACTTTAAGGAGGAGGTTACTTTTGCCGAATGGACTCTAATCAAGCGGTATATCTGCTACGCGTTCCTCTCTTAAAATAAAATGCCAATTTATGTGTTGTACCTTATTTAGAAAACACACTGATTACAGTATTATGAATCTAAATGACCTTATTGTCTATAATCAATCGACGTACAAGCTTAGAAGACAAATGAAGGTAACCTAATGATTTAAAATTTTACGAAACACATAAATTATATCTTTAATATCTCATAGCTACATCTCTACTCCACATTTTGAATTTATTGGTCGAATCTAACTTTATTTTAAATATTTCTAAAGAATTTCGTGTTATATATTTTGCAATGCCTCCATTATTGTTGTCTTTAGGTGTAAGGCACCTGTCCCACCGCTAAAGAGAAAGCAATGATATGACATATACTGTTTTACCGCCCAAGAAACTTACAAATAATAAAGCTAACTGCGTATTTTCTACTCATTATGGACCATCATGAGCCAGCAAAATTTATAAAATATGTAGTAATTATACGAGGGGGAGGTCAAAATATGGACGGAATGGAGGGGTGGTGGGTAGAAATTAAACATGAAATTATTTTTCCTTTTCAATATGTTCTCCCTTAAGCCTGATACATTTCCAGATCTTTTAAATAACTTAATCATACATTTGAAAAAAATACCTTGCTTGGTGTGGAATTTAAGTACCGCGCTGATTTCACTGAAACTTAGTATTTACAGGTGTCTTGAGACGACAAGTACAACTAGCTAAAAGAAACTTCTTCAACTCTCTCCATCTCCTCCATTCGCCAAACTTTTTGATCATCCTTCGTATGTGTAACCCATTTAATCAATCTAGATAGATAGATAAAACTTTATTCACACCAACATGCACACATACAAAATTGAAGACAAATTATACAACTATACTGATATTTTCGTGTGCAGCAGCGATGTGAATGGGCGAAAACTCAGCGTAACATTTACTCCGAGAGTAAATCGCTGATTTTCAGTTCTGACCCATACCTTCTACCGTTCTACGATGCTGTAACTTTTCTTGTCATATATATAGCAGTCTCTCGTTTTCATTCCATACCGAAGCCCAACCACGAACTCTGAAAGATTAGTAATCGATCGTCATCGTTAACTTTTGTATGGAAGGAGCAAGTTTGTTGTGACGGCCGGTAGGTGCGCTGCTTAGTTTTCATAGAAACTTTGACAATGCTATAAGATTACGGAGCTGTTGAAGTTTGTGTTTGGGCCTCTGTTGTCAAAAGTTATAACAACAAATACGAAATGTCATATGAAGTGCTAGAGAAAAGGAAATTTTGTATATAGGATTACTTTCCAAAACAGAAGAGAGGTCTACTAAATTTTATCTATGAAAGCTTTTGCTCGCGTCCATATTTCTCCATATATCTTCATAACGCCTCTCGTTACGTGCAGCAGCTGCTTTAGAGTTTGCGTTTTACCACGCGGAATCATCACACTCCCCACGCAAATCATGCATAATTTATTTGTAACAAACAATTTATAATATATCAGAAGGTCAAGCTTTGTTGATCGACGAGTATTATAAGGACATTTCGGCTTACATTACTAGCTTAGTTTATGATGGTGGGTGTCGCATTGTTTACCGAAAACCACGGAATTTATACAATACATTTTTTTATAATTGGAAACCTCCTATAGCTAATTGATGAAAATTTTAAACCTGCGGGGCTGCAATCAGAGTCTTAATAACTGCATTTTATTAAAGCAGATAAAGCTCTCTCAAATATGTGGAATTCTAAGAAGTAGGTGATACTAATATTCAATGAAAACAAGAAAAAAAAACAGATCAAGAATCCTATAGCTATGCTGGATATGGAGCAAAATATAAATAAAAAAATTCGGCAGCTGATAACTTTCTCGAGCATAGTATACTATTGTGCGCGAAAACCTCTTTGTTACTATTGTTTTCAGTGAGAAAGTTAGACCCAAGCAATGCCAAATACGGCGTCGATTTACTCAACTCGATTTCCGACTTAATAAAAGCGTGTTAAAAAAAGTAGTCTCAATCCAGGTCATAAACTATATGCGTACCAAATTGCATCCAGATTTCGATCATCATCGATTCAAAAATGATTTGATTAGTTCCAAGAAGTTTTGTTGCCGATAATGTATGCTTTTAAGTAAATAAACTGTGAATGGACGAGATCATCAAAATTTCCAATGTTATGTTCCTCTTCACAAGGACAAAATGGTAAAGCGTGGGTGCGGATATTTACATTTAATTTTCCGAGTTGTTACCAAGGTTACCATCATTGTTATACTATACATAACATTGTTACGTATTTAGATTCTATCTTGATGATAAAATATCTGCGTACCTATTTAGATTAGATGATTGTGGGCGTGGTTTTATTATCTTTATGTATTTCAACTAGGAACAAGTGTTTGGATTTGAAAATCGTATTCGAACATTTAATTTTGTATCATTGGTATAATCCTACGCACGTTGATGAGTGTTCTAGACTAGCAATCTGCAATCAAATGTCAACATAATTATGTTAAAGTTCCGACTTTTATGGTTGCACAATTACTGTTCATATGTACATTTGAAGGTTTAATATTTCTTCTTTAATACTCGGAAGGAAGGTTTAATATTTCTTCTTTAATACTCAATCAGTGGTCGCATTATTCATTTTTGTACATCAGCCGCTTTGAAAGATAAGTCATAATCAGTAGCTTACTCGACTTGTTCATGGAGCAGTGTTTTGTTTTTGTCAAAGCTATGTACTAGCGATGCTTTATGTTTGAATAGGGTATTTGACAGTATTAAAAATAAAGTTCCAATTGTTAGCATCTGTGTTTAGAATGAACATTGGTAGAGGTATTTACTATTTTTACAAAAAAAAAATATTCGTAATTTTACTCAAAACCCACGAAAAAGATAATAGTTTTTTTATCTATTGTCACGTGACCCAAAACGCTTAGGATTGGAGGAGCCTAAAATGACGTCACAGGCAAGTAAACTTCCGGTTAAAGTGACATTGCATTTTTTTTGACATTTTAGTAACAGTCGTGTGACGTCACACACTATTAAGACGCCATACTGTCCAGAAAAACGTTTTTGCGGCAACTTGAAAATGGAGTTTTTGATTTGGTTATTTTTACTGAAATACACAACAGAATGATGAATATCCACTTTTTACTCGGACGGACTCCATAAACATTAGTTAATAACGTGAGATCGATTTCTAAAACTTGTCAAATACCCTAACACTCTTTCTGTAGTTCAGGACATAAGGCATTATAAGTACGCTATTCAATTGTCTTTTTTACAGATTCATATTAATGATTCAAATTGTTTCTTTAATCTATTCAGGCCAACGCTACTACAACTACTACCCCCGTAGTTACTACGGACGCAACTTATACGAGCACGGTCGCTCCATCTCGGACAACACCGTGTCATGCGGACCCCACACTTGTGGAGTTGGGGCCCACTGCACCCACGGAAGCGTGAGGCCAGTATGCGCCTGTCTGCCAGGATACTCGGGCGACCCGCTGTCACAGTGCATCAAGATCGAGTGTCTGGGTAAGTGAGAAGACTTCATTTTAGCTACGTAACCTATAACAGCACAGTTGTTCTGTCTTGGAGAACACGGACTCCACATTGTGGTGTGGGTGCACAATGTCCCTACGGTAGCGTAAGGCTGGTGTGTGCTTGCCTGCTAGGACACTAAGGCGACCCGCTCTCACAGTGCATTAAGATCGTGGGACTTGGTGAGTGAGAAATGTTGTACATTGAAGCCAGGCAACCAGCAAAGACGTTCCATCTCGTACATACGAGGTCGATACCCCGCAGTAAATCCCGGTTTCTGTTAATGAGTTAAGTTACCAGAACTTCAGTCCGTAGCATATCACGTTTCTATCGCGTCTTAATGTCAAACTCCATAGTAATTTGACAATGTAGCTAACCGCAAAGCGACCATAGTGCGAGCAATTAACTTCCTTACCTATTATATTGCCCCATTGCCCCTCCCCCCTAGTCTTAAGCTAGCGACGCCCTTGACCGTAAGCATTTTCAAGCTATGGTCTCTGTTTAACACCAGGCGGGCCATATGCTTGTTAGCCACCTCTTTTAAACACAAAGTAAAATATTTTTATATTATGGATCGTTGTTACAGATAACAGCGAGTGCAGAAGCCACCAGACCTGTGTGAATCAACATTGCGTCAACCCATGTGAAGGCACATGCGGTGTGAATGCAAACTGCGACGTACGTAGATTGTCTATTTCTAAAAAATTACACTCACGTCATGGTAAAATACTCAGTCTTCTATAGTTAAGGCCTCAATATGTAAATATAATATGTTTATCTTCTATGCGTTCGTGGAATTCATTCATCTTATTATGACGACATTTCTTTGAGCTGTTCTGTGTAGAAATCGCAAAGAATTCTAACCTAAACAACTTTTGGTAAATTAGCATATATACCACGCGAATTCGAACCAGTGACTAATAAAAAAATAAATATATATATTGTGGATATCAAATGAAAAGGCTTAAAGTGTTTTCTTATTTAGGGAATCTATTATCTTTATTACAGGTACGCAACCACGTTCCGGTGTGCACATGCCCAGCTGGATACACCGGCAATCCTTTCTCCTCGTGCAGAATCGCTGATCCTGGTATTTTTTTTAGTAACATATTCTTCTGGTTGTAATTTCTTGGTTTGTTGTATATTTTTATTATAATCATGTTTTTTTTGCAGAGGAAGCTTGCCATCCTTCGCCCTGTGGTGCCAACACCAAGTGCCATGTCGCTAACAACCAGGCCATCTGTACCTGCCTGCCAGGATACAGAGTAAATTATTCTTATTTTATTATCTTAATTGCAAATATGTTTAATTGATAATTAAAATATTATTGAATATCTCCCGCTCCTCTCTCGAATATTAGTGATTACTAAAATTTTCCATATATTTTACCGATATATCATGATAATATATTATTGCCTGCAGCATAAAAAATAATCTTTATGATAGAATTGTTAAAATATTATTTTATTTTTGCTTCTTTGAAACTTTGCAATTTTGTATGTATTTCTTTAATGTAAATAAATATTAGACGACCGCATTTAAATCTACTCTTTAATTGCTCTTTTCCAACGTAGCTGAAGCACGACGACAAAAACGATCGCGAAACGCCTAGTTATAATTTCCCTTGGCTACATAGTTCGTCAATATTATATCCTGATTTTCTGTAGTTTGCTACGTAATTCCATTCATGTACCTTTGATAAAGGATAAACAGTGCTTATTCCTGTCAACTTCGTTTTGCAGGGTAGCCCGCTAGCCGGATGCCGTCACGAATGTGAGTCGGACGGCGAGTGCGGAGCGCAGCAGTCGTGCCGCGATTTCAAATGCGCTAGCCCCTGCAGTGATTGCGGTGTCAACGCTGACTGCGAGACTGTTGCTGCTCATCGTGCTGTGTGCAAGTGCCCTAGGGTAAGATACATCTCATAGATTCAAGCTTCTAGCTTAACATAATGAGTAGGTTCCAAAGGTGTCCATTATCCTAGTGAGTTTTCACCATACATTGGCGCTTACATGAATCAGGGCAGTACTGATATTCAGTGTTTAGGGGTTTGTAAATAGATACAAACGTAAATTGTACATCTGATAAAAAAATGATTTTAAAATAGGTCAATACACTTGAATAAATGAAATAATTAATTCGACTTATCGATGATTAGCGAGAAAGGAATAGATCCCAAGCAAGTTTCAATGATCACCATTCAATGTTGCCATCTACTACAACTATAAATAAGATGACTCACGCGACACCTTTCCACCACAGGGTTACTATGGCGACCCGTACAGGATCTGCACCCCCGAGTGCACCTCAGACACCGAGTGCCCCAGCTACAAGCCCGCGTGCGTTTACAATGCGTGCATCGATCCCTGCATCAATTCGTGCGGTGTCAACGCCGAGTGCCATCTCCGCGGGCTCACGCCGGTGTGCTCCTGCCCTAGGAACATGACTGGTGATCCCTTCACCTACTGCAGGCCTTTCGAAGCCCGTGAGTTTGATAATTAACTAAGTCATTATTATTTTTATATTGCCTATGAAGGCGACGAGCAGACGGGCCACTAATGTCAAGTGGTCACCGTCGCCCAAGGACATTAACAATACCAGTGACACAGCCATGCCAGTAGTTTTTACACGCCTTTAGTGGAGCACTTTATTAGACGAACGCCTTTCTAACAGCACACTGTGTCCATTTGATCTAAAATAAAAGGGTTTGAGCTAGAATGAGAACGTTAAGTAAAGCATAATGCTTTAACATTACTGTGAAAAGATATTCTCCATTGCTTTTCGTAGCTACGTATCAACCAACAAGGAACATGAATGCAGTTCAATAATCTTTGTCAGTGGAGATAAGACTATGTACAATAGATTAAAAATTACTCTTGTATATTTAGATGATTAAATTTTAAATAAGAATTTTGGTCCTTCGAACCACTTTTGATGACAACAAATAATCAATCAGGCTACGGTAGAGCTGTTCTTCCTAGTCTTGTATTCTTGACAGAGTAGTCGTGGTCATACCTCAGTCGAATCCTTGGCCTCTGATACACTCGGAATGCGGCGATGAAGCTAGTATGTCAAAATATTTAAATTAGTCTTTGAATATAAAAACAATTATTTTTCATTACTAGGTGACCTTTGCGAGCCTAATCCTTGTGGAACCAATGCCAAGTGCACCCCTGGCCATGACCGCACCGGAGCCGAGCGCCCTGTCTGCACCTGCCCCACTGGATACATCGGCAATGCTCTCGTTAATTGCGACAAGGTGAGATGACCGTGAAGCATAAATTTAAACTGCCACTATAAATAATGTTAAGAAAGCTGTTTAATAAGTTCTGTCTTATGTCTCTACTTATCTAGGAAATTTGCATGAACCGATACTCATAATAATGTTTTCCTCAGGAGTTAACATGATGTCTTAAATGTCTGTCTTCTTTGATGAATTAGGGTTGAAAGGAACACAGTTTTGTTGAGATCTTGATGTGCTGGCAACATTGCCTAGTATTATTTTGTAATTGCTTATATTTATATATCTGCCTGTGCCTGCAGTTGTTAGCACCTACAATTCACATGGACCGTCTGTGGTGAATCATGGCCCTTTCTCTCTTTCATCCATAGGGAAGACCAATACCGCAGCAATATAGGGATTTTAACAGGCTGATGATGTTGGTATTAATGAGTGTTATGTTTTACAGGGTGAATGCGAGTTGGACGCTCAGTGCCCAGACCACTTGGCTTGCGTTGGCTACCAGTGCGTGGACCCTTGCCTCGGCAACACTCAGTGCGGCTCTGGCGCTGTGTGCATGGCGCGCCGGCATCTTGCCGTTTGCACCTGTTCCTCAGGTGAGTCCTCTATATATACTTGAGTGATGGTCATGAAGAAGAGCTCGATAGCGCAGGTGGTAAGCGCGTTTGGTCAAGTTATTAAGTATCGGAAACTCGCTAAAAATAAGGTACATGGTAACAATCCCGTAAATGACATAAATTACTATAATATTGGATGGGTGACCAAACACTTATTATGACGAGCTCTTCCGTGCTTCGGAAGGCACGTTAAGCTATTGGTTCCGGCTGTATCTGCAGTCATTAGCAATCATCATGACCCTATCTCCCTATTCCATCCATAGGGAAGGCCTGTGCCCCAGCAGTATGGACAACAGGCTGATTATGATGATATCTTTGGAAGTCAGCGATTTACAAGCACATGGGGAACAGTGCACTGAACAGTATCAAAATTTTAGGAGAGTACCTTTTGCTTCCTCCTCCTCAAGACAGGAGTATCCTTGCTTTCATAGAGAACTGCAATACAACGTCATTATGTGGCGCAGAGTTACTTCATTGTGTTCAGCTTATTAGCTTGCAATTGTGTTAGGGGGTGTGGGAACAAATCTATGATCAGGTAGGCTAGGTGAGGTGAAGAGGAAGACACATTAATCCGTTTGACCCGGACTCTTGGTTGCATGACTAATAGCCGTAAAGCATCCCCCAATTTACACAAAGCCCACGTGGTGTGCCCTTGGCCCATATAAATTCCTAATTAAAGGTTGATAAAGAACGGTGTGATGTGAGTGGCGGATGATATATTTATATGTTATTTATGAATTTAAATTTTATATTCAGGTCACAACGGCGATGCTCTTGTGAATTGCTACGAATCTCGGTCGGTGGCTGCCACCACTCGCTACTACAGATACAAGAGGAATGGTGACTCGGTGTCAGCTGATACTAAAGCCGCGGAAGAGGCGGAAGACGCGAAAGTCGTGGAAGAGACCAAAGTCACGGAGGTGAAGAACTTTGATGAGGTAAAAGAAGAAGTAAAGGCCGAAGTCAAAGCCGAAGTCAAAGCCGAAGTCAAAGCTTAAACAACGGGTACCAGGACATCACTTTTCGGTTATAGTCTGACAAGGATGGCAATACCTATTAAAAAGCCCAATAAATAACGTAAAGCCTAAAAAGTTTAGTTCAGAATGTAGACTACAATTGATCACGCTCCTTTTCTTCCAAACGGTTGTGTTCTAAATTAAATATTCCTAATACACATGTCTTTAAAGATTTGATCTTCATGATCAAAGCGTTACCTTAAATAAGTTTATTCCTAACCATCTACGATTAATTTAGAGCTGTAAATCCAGGAGAAAGGCATACAAATAAAAGAAATTTTTAATCTAAAAATCAGAAAAGGTACGCGCAATCATTTACATCCTTGTCAGACTGTAGTTACAAAATTTGCCGATGACAAATATTTGACTTGCCTTTTGGATTTGTACTATGAATTCTTAAAGCAATGCAAATGCAATGGTTTAACGAAAATCGCAATTGCATTGCTTTTCGGATTCCTTATACAGTATTGTTGTGAATGCTTTATTAATTATAATGTTAAATACTCGCCCTGTCTGAAAAAGAAACGAAATGACGAAAATGGAAATGTAACTAATGAAAATACAAAAAAAAATCCAATCAATTTAATTGTTTAATTGAGATTTGAATGTGTCCTTAAAAAATAATATTATAAACTGCCATTTTCACGTGGACATGAAATGTGTCGTGTGTTGCATTCGTTTAACAAGTTTTTTTTTTAATATTTTGTTTTATTTTTTCCCCTTTACTATTTTGAGGTTTAAAAGTTAGCTACTAATGATAATTAGGTTTATGACTGAGATAAAATAAAATAAAAAGTTCTTTACCAAAAATTTCCTATTACCTAATTACGTACACATAAGCTGCATATAAGGTTATTTGTTTAAAAATCAGAAAATTAAGTTTGCTTTGTCGATGATTTATGAATGTTTTCGTATTTACATTTGTTTTGAATAATCAAAGCCAGACAGCCTGCTTGATTTGCAATTTTGATTCCTTTAGTAATATCCGTTTGGACGTTGAAAATGACAAATGATTACATACTAAATGAATATTCATCGTTTAGGTTTGTAAGTTAATATTATTTATAAGGCATTCAAATACATACGCAAAATGTAGTAGGTTATACAAACAGATAACAAAATAATAGAGTATGAACATGTGAAATTTATTTGATTGACATGGAGCTGGATGTTTGTTTAAACTAAGAAAAACAACATATTGATCATTAACATGCAGCAGTACGGCTCACCAAACATTTCAAGCAACTCTTAGGTCTGTGTCAAATAATATCCACGGACCGATGTAACCGTAGTTATATTATAAAGAAATGGAGAGCCCAAGTGGGGATTTTGGAATTTACTCGAGCGCGGTAGAATAAATTGAGGGAGCAACCTTGCACCTTGTGAAGTACTCCCACTATACCTGAACCCTTTTTAAAGGGTCGAACAATGGTTGCGTCCGTTTCAGTCTTTTGAATAGGCACTAGAAGGAGGGTTTACATAACGTTTCTTAAGACAGTTTTTAATCTGCCGTTTTGCATGTAGGGCATCGAAACCGGGTCCAATTTTGAAAACCCGAGTTTTCGGGTCCAAGAGTAATCAAACCCGATGTATCCAGGTTTTTCGAGATTTTAGATTTTTTTTGTTATAATTAAAAAAAAAACAATAAATGTGTTCTGATATCGACTTTTTGCAATGAGTTATAAAAGCTAAAGGACGAGGAAGTATTAAAACTAATAAAAAGTACTGTCCAAATTACAAAAATAGTTTTAGTATTACAAAAGTCTCTTCCTCTTCATATCAATCGTACGACGCCCACTGATTGGTCCTGCAAAACTCGCATCCAGTGGCTTCACGCGACTTTTACCGACGATCTAAGTCGGTCCACCTCGCGGGGAGCCTGCCCACTCAGCGACGCGTCGTCCGGTGGTGGTCGTTGTTCAGGAATCTTTTCGCCCCAATTGCCATCGGTTCTCCTCGCTACGTGTTCCATCCATTACTACTTCCCGAGAGCAATCCCTCAAGGTGGTGTGATATTGGTTATTTTGGTTCCCCTATGGATTTCCTCAATTCTGATTCTATCGCGTAGTGATTCCAGTATCGATCTCTCCATTGTTCGCTGCGTGACCTTTAACTTTCTTATGAAACCTGTGTGTGATAAATGACCTTGTTTCGCTTCCATAGGTCATTCCAGGCAAACACCCAACAACACAAACAAGGTTTTGGAGATTCTTCTTCCGTTCTCACGCCTTGCTTCAATTGCATAGAATGATTAGTGGTCGGCAAACATAGGGGCACTTTTGTTTTAGGTAACTTAACACTTCGACATACCTGTAGTCTACTTGGCACCTTTGGCGACTGTAACACCGCCCAAATTTCAATCGAATCAAAGTATATCTCAAAAAACTTTTGCCAAATTTGACAGAAAACAGTCCACGAACACCTAGTGATAAATACTCTTCGGTTTTTTGTATGACCTGCCGCAGCGTATGGATGTGGTCTATAGTACTAGTCTTTTCGCTCAGCACGAGCTTTGTAACATCTTCGCTTCCATTGCGCCACATTTCACCCTCTACGATGGGTGCGCGCGTTCAATTTAACTTGCATTGCTTTTTTATCGTAGGAGAACGTAGCAAGTGAGCATCTTTAACGTAATAATTTATTGAAGCGTGTTTTTATTCCTTTTACTATTGCATTCAAAGTGTCTTATACTTAATAAATAATAAAAATAAATTTATTATGAACACCCGAAAAACCCGAGTTTTGCAAATCAAACCCGAATCAAACAAGCTCCAAGCCCAAAAATCACGTCAGAATAAGGGACCGCAGTTACTAATTTTAAAATGATTTCACCATCACCATGCCGTCGCCGTTCCGTAGCTCCTTCATTAAGGGTTCTAGTAGTCAACCATTTTATGCTACGGTGTTATTATTTTCTGGATAACTGCTTCGTCTCCCTCTTTTATGGCAATCTGAAGGTTGTAGTCCCTAATCTTGGCCATTGAAACACTCTCCACCCTTGTTATTAGGCGAGCTGTTGCATCGTCGTTGGCGTTGTCTGTATAATAGTCACAGGTGTTAGTGTCTCTTGGGATCGCTACAACGGCATGTGAAACGCTCTGGTGCAAGTGAGATTTTTTTGGAGTTCTATGCACTATTACCACTGTCTCGAACGTTTGTCCCTGTGCTTCATGAATGGTAATCGTGCGTGATCCATCTTCGTCTCCGCATCCATGGCACACCAAGTGCCAAGGATGCGGAGAAGGTGTGACCAAGATAGAATGTTCGTTCCGTCTTTGGGATCATTGCATCTGAAAACCTCTTCAGCGACAGGGATCTCCCTCGAGTGCTGGACGAGTATATACCAGTGTATATCTCACTGAGGGCGTACGATACATCCTGAGGGTTCCTGTAAGTGCGTAAAAACTCCTTTGTAAGGCCTATAATTTTATTACTTATGTTGTATCGTAAGGGGAAGAGGTTGCATCGGTCGATGTAAGGGAATTGGTTCACATCTCAAAGCAGCGTTGCCTTACTAGCTTTCACAATTTGGATGGCTAAAACTATAGTTCCAAAGTGGTTCATGATTCACCAAAAGGGATGCCATAGTTATTACTCTCGTACATGCTGACTCATGTTAGGTTTCTCATTCTGTTGGTCTCATGGAATGAAAGAAATTAGAGATAATAAGATTTTGGTCACAGAACCTGTAACATTCAAACAAATTATATTTGGAAATTGTTTGCATTCTGATTCTATGGACGGAAATGATTGCAATTACACGAAGAGCTTGATAGCTCCGAGTTTAACGCGTTTGGTATTAAGGAAGATATTAAAATTTTAAGGCATAAGTTGAGTGACAAATAATATATAATCTCGAACTCCCTAGTGATTTGAAGGATCCGTTGATCTCGACTGCATCTGCAGTTGTTAGCACCGACCCATCAGTATTAGGCTTCTCGCAATGAATCCCATTTTCCCTATTTCACACATAGGAAAGGAATAAGGTGATGGTGGTTGATGACGAGAAACGAGAAGTAAGCTTAAGTGAAAAAAGTTTTCTTCTAAAAGGTACTTCATTTTATTTTCGTATGTATTTTAGACATAGAAAGAGCAAATGTTTCGATGCTCGAAATTGCGGTTCAGTTCTCGTAGGATATAAAAATGTAAAGATTTATATTTATTACAGACACTTTTAAATTTTGGAAATCAACTTAAAATCTCAAGAATTCTTCATTATTTTAATAAAGCAATAAGACTCTTACTTGACATTCATTTTCAATAGATTTTTTTTCTTAAAACCAAAAAAACTTAGATTCAACGTATTCCATTCCCAAGTGTCAATAGACTTCAAAGTACCTACTTAAATAATATTTTTTTGGTTTTCTGTTTCTCGAAGTTAGTTTGTGCTAGTTTTACCTTCATTATCTAAAACGATCGTCTATTATTCTGAAGTTTTGGGCGCGATGCAAAAGGTCATTATGTGGGTCAACCTGTCTTAAGGTCGGCCAATCCAGATTCTAGCCTCATTGCAAGCCAATAAGCTTTAAAGATAATGCTCGCCTTCGTTATGCAGATATGCGGATGCAGTTAAATCAAATTGTGATTTATAGTTCCGCCGGATCAAATCGGATCAGTGAACCGATATCTCATTCTGTTTATCGTGTGATAAAATTAATAAACCAGGCTGATTGCTGGAGTACTCTGAATTTCTGTTGTCTACTTGTTATAACTTTTTAACAAAACTCGATTTATCAATGTCTACGACATTGATTCTTCGCGAGAATCCTAGGAATTCTGTAAAAACACGGTTAATAGAAAATGTCGACAATATTTCTCAATATTACTAAAATTTATGAGATTTTATGAAAACGTAAAAATTCTATCTATCAAATCCTACGACATTGATAAATTTCGTAGGATTTGATAGAAAGAATTTTCGCGGGAATCCTAGAAATTCTGTAAAAACGCGGTTAACAGAAAATGGCGACAATATTTCTCAATATTACTAAAATTTATGGGATTTTATGAGAACGCCAGTCGCCTCAATATAAACTTATTGTAAATATTCTTGGGTTTTTGGGTTCACACTAGGTTATGTCCTATTAGGTTAGTGTTGTGACCATGGCCAGTAATAAACGTTTTAAATAAAAAATTAAAAGTTAAAAATTTAAACGCAACGAGAACTGAAATCAGTACACATTTGACAAACGTGCTTTCCAAGCACGCAGGAGTTCGAGATGGCATTATTGCAGGAGATTTTGGTCACCCATCCTATTATTAACGCTCATCGCGACGTTGTTTAATTATCATGTGTATATGTAACTTATTGGTTTGAAATAGTCCATACGTGTTGTTGCTATAAGAGACAGTAGCTATACGGGTAGTAATAACACAGACATTTGCAATTACACCGGGACAAATTACCATTGCGCTGCTGTAACATTTGTGCTAGTACTGTGCAATAACAAGATTATCGGTTGGACTACATTCGGTAATGTTGCGCGTACATTGATGGCTTGTCGCGCACTTTCCTGATATCGATACTCCCTAAACTACCTATTTCGACTTCCTCCGTTCTTCGGAAGGATCGTTATGCTGTTGATCTCAGCTGATAATAATGAAACTACCTATAGATTCACACTTGTATTGATGTAAATATCACTCTCTTTCCACATTGGCATTAGTTGGGTCTAAGATAATATA